CGCCTGTAAAAGGTTCCCTTGTGCTGAACCTCGTAGCCCTGCACGGGGATCCCGTAAATTGCAGTGAATAAATGTACTGTCTCAGGAAACCCCACGACACCGACACCCCCCCCCCCCCCTCAAAAAAAAGAGGGCCCAAAACAGTAAAAAAGGCCCAACGAAGACTTCACCCTCTGACATGCGCTCTTGGCAGGAGTAGTCGTCCTTTGATTTGCCTGCCCATTATTACAGAAACAATGGACGTGCCTGGTCATGCTTGGCCTGTTTTTTCCGCCCTTTTCAAGACAGAGCTACTTATCTTTCTTGAGCTTGTCGTCGAGAGTCGTGTGTTGCTGTCCCCGTTTCCCTTGGAGCGCTCGCAGTCACCTGGAGCCCTCGTGCCGAGCCGGCTTTGGGTTTACGTCGACTCGACTAGTCGGCTGCTGGGAAGTGCTTCGCCGGGTCTAGAGATTCATTGTTTCGGTTGTCTGGGTTTTATCTCATGACGCGAATCACTGCCGAGTACTCCAGCAACCCGTTCGGCCCCGTTCAGACTGAGACTGGGATTTTGACCAGTCCCAGGTTCGAAGCACCAGATCTCCGGATGCGAGGCAAGATTTGCAAAGCACTCGAGGCCTTCACGAGGTACCAGGTCAGCACGTGTACCAATTCAACCAAAGTTAACGGGTGCTGCGATGTGCTCTGCCCAGGCAGGATTCCTTTCCTTTGCTGACTGACGAGGCGGCCTGTGAATTGAGCAAATGGACATGTGAGTTCATGTGCCAGTCTGTGCCACATTCGGTTCGTTGAGGCTCGGGACTGGCTCGTGGGCTGCTCAGGCTGAGCGCAAATTTCCGAAGTGAATTGAGAATCAAGACATCCTGGCATATTTCTTGCCGGTGCACACGGACTTTGTCTCTAGCATTGCTGAGGAAGAGAATGCAGATCGGCTATCTGATCAGACGCAGAAATGCTTAATGGTACTTTGGACACGTCTTGAGCAGCAGTGTAGATTGCTGCTAGGTTTCCGTGGCCACTCTTTAGTGCAAATTTGCTTCCGTTCCATGTTTAAAAACGTGGCGCCAGATGCACCAGCAGCTCCAGCAGCTGTTAGTGCAGCAGGGCAGTTTGCCAATGAGGACGTGGCCGAACGGAGCGTTGGTCCGAGTGCACTCTGAAACAGATGGCAGGATGGATGCTCCTTCTGCGCGGGCCGCGCGGGAAGTAGAGGCCTTGCTGGCTGCAGTCGTGATGCGAAGATTGCTCTTTCGTGGGAGATGCTTTTTCAATGAAGGAGAAGAACCCCGGCAAGCTGTCGCCGACTGCCTTGGAAGGATTCAAAGCTAAGCTCGTTGCGAGAGTACCGTGCCGAATTTGAGAGGAGCGCCTTTGGATCTGAAAGCCGAGCTCTGCTCGCATTCGGCCCGCGGCCCAGGCTCAGCTCAGCCCAGGCGAGTCGTTATTGAGACTCCGTGTGAGAAGTCTGTTTCGAAGACGTGTCTTTCACATGTCGGCATGCATTCTAAGCCTTCCAGTTCATGTATCGCGTCATAATGTTGCATCAGGTTGCTGCACGGAGGAGAGATGAGCTCAGGCATGCGCACGGTCATGACGGTGAATACGGCAGGGTTGTCATTGAAGCGCGTGGAGAGCACAGCACATCGCCAGGTCTGAGCTAGTAGCAGCTGAACAAGAACTACTCGCGGCTGAGGCGGAGTTCAGGTGCAAGCGATTCGCAAGCACGTTTCGAGTCGTGACTCAGTCTAATGGAGAGGCGTCAGTACTTGTAGTGTGGTGTTGAGTGTTGTTGACGAACTCTGACACTGGCTGGGCCATGCAGGATAGAGGAAGCTCGAAATGATAAGTTCGAGCAGGCCGAGCAGGGCAACGGAAGAGACACTTTCTTGTGGCCTGTAGGAGCCGATGGACGGTAGCGCTAACCTGTGTAGGCATAACATGTCTGGAATGCTTAGAGGCTGTGGAAGCGGGCAGCGAGGCACTATCCTCTGCACACGACGTTCTGCTTCTGCTTTGTCCATCCGATGTGACTCACACTGCCAAGCACAGGCCGAAATGCGCCGTCTGCAGGAGAAGGTGGATGTGTAGCTCGTACCCAGACCTCCCAAACAGAGCACTGAAGTGAGAGGCTGCCTTGCTCGAAGTGTTGGCCTCAGCATGTAGAGTGACAAGTGCGAAGGCTTGACTATTACGTGAGCTGCATTTCTGAAGTCTCTCAGGCGTGTCGCTGTAGCTAGCTGAACCAGTGCTCACTGGTACTTCGATCTCTTTCTGTTGCCATGGTACCCGCGAGCAGCTCGACATCTTGTTTTGCTGCACCTGGCTACTTGTCGTGGCAGCCTCTTGAAGGCACTTAAAGTGTTCAAGTTCTTCCAGCATGACAGAAACTCCATGTGCGAGATGCAGAAAATCACGAAAGTTCTTTCCAGGGAGCCTTTCGTTTCAGAAGTCAGAACTTGTTCTGCTAGCAGGCTTGGGGGGTATGGGGGGGACCCCCCAACAGGTGGCCACTTCGGGCCCGTTTTTGCAGCCAATCCCCATGCTATGCAGGGATTTAGGGGTGGCCCGGGCGGGGACTTTTTGGGCTCCAGCGGGTGGGTCCCGAAACGACCCTCCAATGGAGAAACGAGCCCCCGATGATGCTCGTGATGCTTGCCTGGCGGCACCCTTTGATGCTCCAGATGCTCGCCTGCCGGCGCAAATTGGGATCCCTGGATGCTCATGATGCGCTTAGCTTCGTTGCGACGCTCAGCTTCTTGTGTGTGCGGTCTTGAGTCAAGTTCGAGCTACATCCTCCAACCTAGAGCTTTCGGCACCTCCCCGCGGGTCTCAAGTTCTTTTTTCGCTGAGTCCCAAGTCGAAGCTTTGAGGTGCATTGGAGCCGTTGTGCCGAATCCGCTCGGATGCAGCTGCTGTGCCCCAGATCAGGTGTCGGCACGAGCGTTGAGCTCTCATGCAGCGGAGCTGACATGGTGATCGCCAAGTTCTCCAGCTTGAAGGATCTTTCTGCCATGGTGGTGCCATGGCATTGGCGCTTGCTCTTCGGTCAAGCATTCGCCTCGCTTCACGCAACTTGGGTTGCCTCAGTGAAAGGGTCTGTGAGATGTGCCGGTCACACGACTTTGTTCATGGGTTTTGTCGAATGTCGCGAGACGAGGTGAGGCCTGCTCAGTGGTCAGAGGTCCTTGTGCACAATGCAAGACCAGCAGTGCACTATGCAAAGCGTTATGCATCCAGAGACGTCCCTCGCCGTCTCTGGCAGACACAGACAAACCAGCTGTGAGATTGATTTCCAGCTCTTGCAGTCAGCGTGACTCGCCGTCAGATCCAAGAGCTTTGCGCAAAACCACTTCGTCCATAATGAGACTGAAACGCACGGGCGACTGGGAGCAGGCATTCTTCTTGCTCTTTGCATCCTCTCACGTCCTTCCAGACATAATGGCATTCACTGCCACGGTGGGGGTCTGTGCACAAGCTTCGGCTTGGAAATCTGCGCTTGCACTGCTGGAGAGGCTTCACTCAAGAGCCACTCCGGACCGTGGGTTTTGGAATGCTGTCGGCTCGGCATGTTCTGCAGCCGGAAAGTGGCAGCTTGCACTCTGGCTCCTCCTGGATGCCCCACGGTCTGCAAGCTTGTCTCCCAATATGGTCGCACTAAGTGCGGCAATGACAGCTTGTGAGCGCGTGTCTTCATGGCAAACAGTTCTTGAACTTCTCTTAGATGCACAGCAACGGGGCCGCCTTGCAGGAGCACATGCATACAGCACTGCCGTCGTGGCCTGTGGTGCTGTCTTTGCTTGGCAACGTTCCCTGCTTCTTTGGAGCGAGTGTCAGAGACAGAGATGGACCGTCAAATCGAACGTCATCGTTTTGAATTCCACTTTGACGGCCTTGGAGCGGTCGACGGAATGGTCGCGGTGCCTACATCTCCTGAGAAGCGGAGCCGAAGCCCACGACGGCGGAAATCGAGGAAAAGTCGATGGTGCAGATGGCATTAGCTACAGTGCTGTCATGGCAGCCTGCTGCAAAACACAAGAGTGGGCTCTATCAATCTCTCTGCTGGACGAGGCTCTGTCGCTGGGGCTCACCCCTAGCCCTGGAGCCTTCAGCTGCCTGGCACGGGCACTGGGCCACAGCCGCGCTTGGCAGCAAGCCCTCCAGCTTCTGCAGCTTCCAATGCCACAGCACTCTGTCCTGGATCTGTGGTCCAGTGTGGCCTGGGCTCTGGATGTGTCCCGGCTTCATGCTACTGGTAAGTCCTTGCTCGTAGCAGACTCCACCTTCCGAAATGCATGTGACCACTGTGAGGTGGCTGGCACGTCGAGTCTGGAGCACCCTTCGCTTGAGATGGAAGCACTGGGACGCAAGCAATTCGCTCTGCTGGATTTTGTGCAGCGCCGTGCACGCAGAGGAGATTTGGATGAAGTGCTCCGCGAGATGCTGAAGTTTGCGCGGCGCCGGGAGTGGCTGAAGATCGCAGGTGGAAACAAGTCCCGCCTCTTGGAGGCGGAGCTGAAGGGAGGGGCTGAAGGGGCTGAAGCCGACCAGCTGAAGTGTTCAGAGACTCGTGCCTTGTCTGAGTCCCTCAGAAGTCTGCGGGGTGACATGGTTTGCAGGCGGTTCTTCGTCCTGGTGATCTTGTCCTGGAGCTGCACGGCTATAGTCAGCCGACCAGTGATTTTGTTTTGGGATTCCGCAATTTGTTCAAAGACCCATGCATTAAAACCTGTTGGACGGAGAGGTTCTAGACTGCAGGTTTGGATGCTTCGTCGGCTTCTCTGCACTACTGGCAGCCCGGCGACTCAGGATATCTGCGCGCCAAAGCACTTCCAATACTTCCGTCGGTGTCTGTGCCAAGACTTCTGAATGAGCTGGGCAGGATTCTTGGTGGTGGCGGCCGAGTTGTTTCCTGTGAGCTCAATCTGGCGCGGCCCCTGGTAGAGGGCTGCTGTGCACGCAACGAGAGCAAAGTTGCGGCTGAGGTCAGTGCCCATGTCGCGCGCCGCATCATCAAATGGGCTGGAGCTGAAGAGGAAGTAGAGGCCGTTTGCGAGTTTTGGCATGAAAGGTAGCTGAATTGGAGATACTGCCACACCTTGTTGGGTGCCAGCCTTCCTTGCCAAACCTGCCAGCCTGGAAATCTAGAGCTTGATATTGCTTGATTTGCACAAGTGTGCACAAATCTGCACCGGTGCAGAAGCTTTATATAGAGCGATGATGTGTCCACGCTTATATCATGGTCCCCATCCCGACCTACCGCTCGCACGGCCGGTCTGTTGGCGGCGGGGTTCGGCGGTGTGCTCTCTGTCGCCCAGCTTTCTGGCACTCATCCATCCTTCATTTCGTGATCAACGCAGAAAGGCGGCGAGAGCGAGAGAGAGAGAGAGAGACAAACAGACAGACGGGAGATAAGGGTGCAATCTACGATTCATTGTACGAGACGACCTGAAGTCACTAGGCCATCCACACAGCCAACAAGCTCTCACTAATAGCTATGGTTTCGGAAGATCAGAGATGACAGGCCCAAGCAATGCGACAATGGCCCAACGGACGTGGTGAAGTGAAGGGTCTTTGTTGCTCATCCCCGATGAAAATCATCGCACATAGTCACCACCTTGCTATGTAGTCGCTAATGATGCGCTCACCAAGACTCAACTTACGACACCAACGCAAAGTCATACACCCCCCAATGGAAGTTGAAGATCGATTGTGCATCCTTGTGTTTTGTGTTTTTCAAGCTCCGAGCGACCTGCGACCAACCCCGTCCGTGCTTCCAGCTGCTCCGCCTTGTTTCAGGCAAGTACACAACAAGACAGCAGAAGTAGCTAAACGTTGCAAGTTGGTTTTGCAGGCTCATCCGTGCAAATTATATTGACTGCAGGGTTGAACCCTAGCACTGCTCTGTGTCAAGCAACCATGCTTCATGTCAGGCTCTTTTCGTTTTTTGCGGCTGAGGAGCGTCAGCACGGACATTCGGAGAGAATCGAATGTGTTCCGAGCGATGAGAAATCGAATCGTGGCAGGTCAAGATTGGTTTTGCAGCCGATTGGATTGCGACAGGTTTGCTGGCCAGTCCGGATGTGGGGACCTGAAGAACCAGCCTGCACCGGCATGAAAATTGCCTGCGAGCTGTTTGCAGGTAGTTGTGCTTGACCACAGTGGTGCTCGATACCACGAGGAGCTGCGAGTTCGGAGAGCCACCTTGCAAGGCTGCACAGAGTTTGCAGAGGATCTCTTGGCCTTGGAGCCTCTTCAATCCAGTACTCGCATCCTTGCCGACAATGTGCAGTCCTCAAGTGCAAAGGAGGTCCGGTCTGGATGGTCTGGTCTCGTCCGGGGCTTCTTTGGTCTTGTGCTGGCAGAGCTCCCAGGTCCTGAGCCCTGGCGCGCGGAGAGCTGAGCATTCCATGCCTGTACTCAGCAGCGTCTTGACAGTGTCGCAAGGCCATTGTTTCTGAGTGTCATAGACGGCCGCTACCACGTGGCAATCCATGAGGCCGCAGTTGATATTCCCTTCCTCCATAATGACATATCATGGACACATGTCGAGGTGACGGAGTTCTTGCGACGCCGTCGCATGGACTGGGCGACTTGGAAGCATAAACATGGGATGATCATCCTTTGGCTTCCAGAGAACTTCTGGCTGCGAGGGAGGGCACAGGGCACGGAATAAATGAGGTTCTGGTGAGTGTCCCTTTCGATCCTCTGCCTTCCTGGAGCGGCCTTGGCCGTGTGCCGCTGGAGCGCGAAACCGAGACCGGGTCTTCCCGAATGATTCCCGAGTGGTGAGATGACCATGATGACCGCGGCCGTAGCACGACCGCAACTGCTGAGATTCCAGCAGCTGGCGGCTGAGATCAACAGGCAGGCACTGCTGACTGCTGGCGTTCTTAGAGTCTTGGAGCACCCGATCCCCATCATTCGAAATCACGAGGGCTACGAAGCCTCTAGGTGCTGAGTTTCAGGGATGTGCCCAGCTTTCCACCAGCGGTCCCTTCTTGAGGCTCTAAACGAACTCTAGAACGACGGCGACGATTACGACGACGACTTTGGGCCGGTGTTGGTTTCGCTTCGGAACCTATGCGGTTACTAGTTCTCATCGCTGATCCATAATCCTGACAATACTCGCTCAGCCATTTCGCTCAAAGCAATCTCCACCCTGAACCACGCAATTCTGCACCGGACCTTTGGCCCTTAGCACCCGTGCTAGTTTTCGTTTGAGGCCCCCCCCAGGGCTCAAGTTAGGAGGGGGAGTGCGCGATGCAGGCTGTGCTGGCGGAGCAGTTCGAGTCGCAGTCGGGTTCGGGGGGAGGAGTGGATGAACTTACAGGACTACCGGACCCAATTGGAGGAAGAACACTCACTCTGCCGAGCCTATTGAGCTTTCCCTCTCCTGTACCTGAAGCGGCGCTACTAGGTCCCATGCTAGGCCAACACAAAACCGTGACCCCAAGACTCCGATCTAATCCCTGCGAATGCGAGTCTCTTCCACATCCCGGCTGGAGCCGTTCGCTACGGTCGCTGAAGGAGACTGCGTTGCCGCTGTTCCGCCAATGGGCGCAGCTGCGCCTTCCGAGCCGAAAAAAGGCGAACCCAATCGAAGCTCCTGTGGCTTCGGCTTCGGTGTCCGCTTTGTGACTCTTGACTTCGCCTTGTGCTAAGGCCCGACTTCGAGACAGGCTCGCCAGCTTGCCATGCATCCAGCGGGCTGCGATTGCAACCTCGAGCTTTTGCTTGGAAGGCTCGAAACGCTGCAGCATCTTGCTTCCAAGGCCAGCTGCACACAGGGCATCAGGTCTGCAGAAGCGCGACATGTCTCGATCCAGGCGAGGGCAGGGCAACAACGGTCGCCTGTCTCCCTCTCGTCACTGCCTTGTGGTAGCTCAATCAGCGCACATGAGGGATGCGTGCATGCCACCCAAGGCCGACCCAGCCATGCCAGTCGCCCATCCGCAGCAGTGGCCCAAGTGAAGACACCGAACAACACGTCCTTTCGCCTTGCATGATGAAGGCTACAAGATCTTCAACACCAAAGCACGGTCGGTGTCGCCGCCCAGGCCTGATCCGTTAGCTTTCTGCAACTTGTGATCTCGGCAGACACGAGGCAGCAGCATTCAATAACCTTGAGCACTGGCAAGCCACTCGTGTCACAGTGCAGGCGTGGTGGAGGCTCCTATCACACTTAAGTTGGTTGAAGTTGTCGTGACAGGCCTCTCAGTCGAACGCACGAGCCGCCGAGGGCGCTTTCAGGATCCCCAAGGCTGGTAGGAGGGCAAGCAGCAATGTTTCAGCCAGCGCTGAACACAGCGTGCTCTCACCTTGTGCAGGGCGGTTTCTACGCCGGTGGTCGTCTGGAGCTTATTGCCGACCTGAAGGGCACACAAAATTTCATTCGTAACGACCATGCCAAGGCAACACCGCCCCTGCTGAGAGTGGCTGCCGCAGCAGCCGGTGCTGCGAGACACCAGGCTGCACCGCCATGCACCGCCAGCAACTGGAGTGGTTGTGCAGGTTGTCATGGCTGCCCACTCCCTCGTCCGAATTCACTCACTCCTCACTCGCACTCACCCCCAACTCCCCACTGCCCACTCTCACTCTCACTCACTTCTACTCTCACTCACTCCCCACGTTCCCGACTCCCTACTCTGACCCACTCCTCTCGATCACTCTCCACTCCTACTCTCATGCTGTTAGACCGAAACTTCAAGACTTGTGAAGTGGATATGCGCGATGGAGCCTGAAGGCTACGGCACACTTCCAGCAACTTGATGATGTGCTGCCCTTACGGAACAGGAGAGTGGTCCATCCGAAAGGCCGAGAAACCTTCCTAGGGCCCTGGGACTGTCTTTTTGAGGCCAGGCATCGAGCACAGGTTGACTTCTGGTCTGGCCTATAGCTCCACTCTAGCAGCGTAGCAGCGGCAAAGCCGCTTGGCCCAAAGAGGTCAAGCAATCCAGAGGATGTACGACGCTTGCTGTTCTGTGCGAAATTCCGGTTCCGGCCTTCGTCAACCTGTGCCGATGCAGCTTGATACGTCTTGATCATCGCCAGCAAGGTCGTTGCCAGCTGATGCACCGCAACTCGCAACTGTGAACAGCATCTCGAGCTCTAGAGCAAGTAGTTTAGTGATTGGATGGTATTTAGGTAGAACTGAAAAAGCCTGAGCCTTGGACAGCCTCAGCGGGTTCTGCTCCAGCAAGAGGTATAATTGAGACGCTCGGGATCTCGTGCAGCCGAGGTCTTCCCCTCAACAGCAGCCTGTGCAGCCCGGCAGACGTCGGGGTTGACTTATGGGCAGCTGCAAGCCCCCGCCTAAGATTCCCAAGTGTCCCCGCTGCCCGCATATGACATCTGAACTTGTCGCTATCTCTGCTTGCGGTATCCTACGCTGTGGAGATATCCTTCGGGCTCGCATCTTGCTCGTTTCACGTGTGCTCACATGCTCACTAGACCTGCGGAAACTTGAATTCGCCGAGTTCCGTGGAAGATCATTCCGCACCGGGAGCGCAGCGATGTGCCGTGCATTGGAGGGTTGCTTCCCAGTGTGATCTGTGCTTAGACTGGTGCAAGGAATTTGCGTCTGACAGGAGCCGTAAAGCTGACGACGAGTGGGAGCCACTTGGAGCTGGACATTTTGGCAGCTCAACCCAGGTGGCCTACACGAGTCGACTAGCTTGTGCAGCTTTTGGGAATGCTAGAGTGCCGGGCTGCTAGAGCTTCTTGCAGGAGGTCCTCTGAAGACACTCCACCGCAGATAGCTTTGGATGCGATGCCGCTTCCTGTTGGAGACCAGGACCTTTGATGAACGCCGCTACTTGCAATTCTGTGTCATTGTCTCGCATTACCTTCGAGGAAGCAACTCCGACCTTCAATTTGGCCTCTGCTCTGGCTTGCATCTCAGATTCTCCGAGCCGGGCAAGAGGCCTACGGTTTGCGACTTGGATGTGCTGCGTGTTTCAACATGGTTTGTCACCACGAAGACCCGAGGCTAAGAATTCCCAGGGCCGGGTGCTGAGACGCGTGCCTGCGTGTGACTTCGGAGCATCCCTTCTGTGACCAGGAGGATCACCCTCGAAGGCGCGGATAGCTGTCGTGTCGTGCATGGGTTGTGGAATCATGAAGCTTGGGCAAGTTGGCATGAGCTGGCACAGGCAAAATTGCTCATGGCCGGAGAGCTCTGCAATGCAGCCATTGAAGGCTTGGCATGATGAATCCACAGACATCCTGCGGCGGATGCGGCGGCAGATCGCCAGGCGACATCGCGGAGCTGCAGAGCCTCCTCGAAGCAGGCTATGACGTGAACGCAGGTCAGCTGCTTTCTGCACATATCATGTCATCTTCGTGTCATCTTCGTGTCCTGGATTTCTCGAAGGTGACTACGACCGCCGGACGGCCATCCACATCGCAGCTGCCGAAGGCCGAGACGAGGCCAGGCGGAGCGAAGCGGAGCGAAGTGGAGCAAAGCGGGGCGAAGCGGAAGGCATCACAAGCCGGCAGTGAGAAATTCTTCGCAGCACCATAGCCACATGTGCAGAGGTCGTTGCATTCCTGCTGTCTCGCAAAGCGGCCGGGGACTCTGCTCAATCGTAGTCGTCAATCGCTGCCAAAGTGCAAGTATCTCTTCGGAAAGCGAGTTTTCGGTAGGACATGACGGTTGTTGATCGTCATGGCCTGAGGTTTCTGGCAAATTAAGCACCAGTACCATGTCTGACGTCATGTGAAAACTGAAGGCTGGGGCCACACGCCCTTGGACGAGGCACTGCGAGCTGGACACAGCAAGGCCTGGTTTCCGAAGGACTCCCATATACTCCTATCATGGCCTGATGGCCGCTGCCTGGCAGGTGGCAGCATTGCTCAAGCCAGCCGATGCAAAAACTGCAGAGATCACATCTGGCAACTTTGAAAGACAAACGTCAGGGGCTGTGATTCTGGCGCAGACGTTGGGCAACCTTTTCATGTCTCACAGGTCTGACATGGAGACTGCGGCCATGCTTTGTGCTGCTGCCCTATCCTCGGACGTGCTGGGCATGTGCTGAGCCGTCTGTGACCAGCTCTTCGGCGGCAGGCTGCCACTGGGTGGCTGCCGCAGATTGAGACGCTCGGTATTACCATTGACGGTTCGACGATCGCGACTATCAGAGTCTGATGGCTCCAGGAAGCTGTTGAAGAGTGGGGCCGACCCTTCGGCGGCCGACTACGATGGTCGCACCGCGCTGCACATAGCTGCAGCCCGCGGACATGCAGAGGCTTTGCATGCTAGAATCCGCGGCTGATGGATGTGAGTTTCCGAGCTGCCAGCAGGTGGTCAGCATGCTGCTTCGTGCGAAGGACGACAGATTGCCATACTGCTTCTCTAGCCAACTCGCCGCGACATGTGGTACTCCGCACAAACGAACCTTTTTCAGTCACCGACACAAGCATCATGTCTGCGTTGTTGATGGGTACCATGCAGGCTAATCCGACAGCTCACGATTCCTTTGGCAAGACGCCAGTGGACGAGGTGTGCAGTTAAGTTGCTGGTCGTGTTGCGTGGGTTGCTGTCGGGCGCTGCCAGGCTTTCCAGCACAACGATGCTGCGGCCGCTCGGACGTTGTTTTTGGAACTTAGTCTTCGTGTTCTTGCGCTACGCTGCTGACAAGGTGATCAGGGCGCTGGGAGCAGCAGGAACTAACATTCTGGATGAGGCTGCTGGTCAGAAAAACACAGACTTCGAGGCCCTGCCGTCTCATGCTTGCTTCTCGTACAGTCTGTTTGCTTGTGAACAGGCGCTCAAGACCATGGCAGCATCTGAGCACTGGTCAATTGTCGCCTCGGAGGTGAATGCAGAACAGTCCTTGTTGGGTACATTCATGAATCGCGCAGCTGCTCCCACGGCATGCTTGATCCGTTTGTCGTGTACCCCTTGAAGGTGCAGTTCGGAAAGTGCTTGTCCACAACCATCAAGAGTGCAGTTTACTTGGCCACGTGGCGTGGGTTGAAGGCTGGGTAGCGTGAAGCTTTACTGCAGCGTGCCTGTCTCTTGAAGTGGCAGGTCGTGGCAAAGACCGTTAAGGATGTGAGGCTGGCACTTACAAGCGAGGCGGACAGTTTGCGGAAATAGAAACACTTACACGTCACCAAGGGCTTCCGGCCTCAATCCACGCCGTGCGCAAGAAGCAAGCGACTCTACAGCCGCTCTGCGAGCACGAAGGAATTGGTGTCTCATGAGTGTTTGCATCTAGTGAATTTGGTGATTCAGATTTCATCAGCTCCCAAGTGGAGTGACGCGACAAAGCTGAGGTTCGAATTGCACGGGACGAACTGCTGCATGAGATCAGGCCCGAAAAAAATCACGAAGAAGTGGTATTCTTTTTGCATTGCTTCAACACCATCATCGCCATATTTATATCATGCCGACGCCCTCAGGACCCTGTCCACTCTCCGGCATCCCGATCTCGTGCTCTTTCTTGGTGCGAGCTGGACACCTACTTTCTCATTCGAAGGGATTGTTCACGATGCGTGTAGGTTCTGCCGGAGAACCCAGGCAGCTCTTGCATTGACTCGACACCGTAGCCACCTGCGAGTACGCCCATTCGAACTCATTGAACATACGGATTCCGGAAGGCAGCCATCTTACACGATGTGGGGACACGAAACTCGAGAACCCCATGCAGACTTGGGATCGAGAGTGTGACATCTGCAAGTGAAGTTTCTCCAAAGCGTAAGCCTCGGCCACCCGATGTACAGGTCGGGCCTGATTCTGAAACGAAAGTGGCACCACTTCCTGGACAGATGCCCTCCGCCCCCTCACGATCCGGAAGCGTCGTCTGCATACATGGTGAGAACTCGTTCTTGGCACCTGGCTCTTATTCTTTGCAGTTCCTTTTAGGTCGTGCGGTCCCAGCCACCGCGACCGCCACGGCGGTCAGGAACGACCGTCGTGCGTACACGCGCGCCCGCGCGCAAGCATCATCTGATTGTGCGGAATAAGGAGGGGTCCCGCGGTCATTGCACCCCATGGGCCCGCAGGGGGCCGGCAGATCATCATCGTGTCTCTGTCCTTGTGGAAGTGTCCCTCCCTCCTGCTCTCCCTCCTTACCTGCCTCCTTCGCTTTGCGAGCCAAGATTACATATCAGTTGACAAAATATAAAAGAGTGGCATTTAATATTGCTATTCTTGTCGTTCAAGATTCTACAAAGGCCGCAGAGTAAAGGTATTACGTTTCTAAAATGAAACGAGTTAAATGAATCTGCGAAATGTAACAGGTTTCATAGTAAGGAATCAAGCGTGGGCGTCAGGAACAGGTTCCGACATGCGATGTTCAAAGCCCAGACCTATTAGATATGAAATCACACATCAAATGCATGTAGTAGCTAAGTTCCAGGATTTGCAAAGGCAAAGGTCAAGAGTGTTCAACATAGTTTAACGCTTTGAGAAGGGCCGTAATAGGCTCAAGCACAGACCCTTTTTGTACCATATATAGTGAGTTGAAACACAACAAGACACGGCGTAAATTAAGCCAGTTGCACGGGTTAAGATTTGGTTCTCGAATCAATTATTAGGTAGGTCTGGGTTTCAGCACGCTCGGAATCTAACATCGCAAAGGTTCTAGGGGCAGGTTCAGAAGTAGACATGGAGTATGGTTTCACAACATTCATTTTTTAGACGGGCTGCAGACAGGGTATTCATTAATCCATCAAATTGCAGGTCTTAACCACGTGAGAAACACGTGCAAGGAGCTGCTGCGGCTGAGAGCTTGACAGGGGCCAGAAACAGTAGCACCTTAAGTGAAAGTTTTTGGTGTCGTTGTTACGCGTGCGTTGCAAGTTTCGACCGGCCACCTGGTGGCAGGGCTATCAGGGTACATTTTTTGGATTTGGACGTTGGACGTGTGAGCGCGACACTCGCAGCCCACACCCTAGACGTCTCGCAAGCAAGCAATCAAGCAAGCAAGGGAGAAAGAGACGTTTAGCAGCCTTCATGCCGAGTCAGCCTTACAATGCTTTGCAGTCTATTGTTGTATTGTCATGGTGTTCAATACTGCGTCCTGAGTCCTGAGCCTGGGGGACAGTCAAGCAGCAAGACCACAAAACCTAGTTAGCTGAAATGCTCTCTGGGGACCGGCATTGTCATTGTCTCTACAGTCAGAGTGGAACCTTAACTGCTCGTACAGCTGAGCCCTGAGGAGAAAACACTCTTTGGACACTTGTTTGGGCATTTTCACGCCGGGACGCAATGCCTCCTTCTCTCTGCAACCAGATGAGTGGGTGCTTAACACATGGGTCCGGCTTGGTCGGACTCATAACCCGGCGAGGTGAAGAGTGAGTCCGTCTACTGAGCGCACCGTCTGGTCAACTCCGACATGTCTCTAAAACACCGACAAACAGGACACCCTTGGGGTGGCTGTCTGTGATAGGACCCTTATGCCCCGAACAAAGAGAGAGTGGTTCCGTTGAGCGGCTTGGCCTAGGCTTGGACACTGAGACCTGCTTCTTCCTCACGGAGTACATGGAGGCCTCCATGGCTTTTGCAACAAGCGCCATTCTATTGTGCGCTGGAGATCCAGGGTGGAGATGTGGAGACATATATGCGATCCAATCGGATCAAAGCCAACAACAAGGAGTTCAAGCCGCCATACAATGTCGGAACCTCGAATCCACATCATGACCGCGTTTCGCACTTTCAGTCATGTCCAACATCCGAAAGCCAGTCGAACTGTCGAAGCAGGTTGCATTGTCTTGGTTCCTCTCAACAGCCCGGGCTTTGGCGTTCTTGCATGGTTGTGCGCGCCGGTATCCCAGACCCTTTCACCGACACCTCCACCACGTAGAAGTTCAAGATGTTCCAGCGATTCAAGGTCCCATCATTCACCGAGACCTGAAGCCTCTGAACCTCCTGTTGACCAAAGGGTTGGACTTGAAGGCAGCTGAGCGTTGCACAATATTGCCAGTTCGGTTTGTGGTGGATCCAGGTGACAGATTTTGGCTTGAGCAAAATTATGCGGCCGAAGCTCCTGGATCTTTCTGGGCGACTTGGAAGCACGCTTTCTCCGAAACCAGAGGGCTGAACTAGACGTCCCCCGGTGCTGAAAGGAGGGACACGTCGCCTGCACCGATGATGTCTGGTGGCGCGGTGCCCATGAACGCCATGCTTTCCGATGAGCGGCATCAGCTTTCAGCCATGTCTTGCAAATCAGTTCCAGCGCAGATTCGATGTAAACCCGACGGCCCGAGCCTTTCATGCTCGGTCAGGTGTTGGCACATACCGGTACATGGCTCCAGAAGTTGTGCGATATGAGCAATACACAGCTTCTCAACTGCAGTCCTGGTGCAACTGCTATACTTTCGCCAGGCCAGCACATCCTGCACAGATTTAGTTACTGAGGACAAAATCGACATCTTTGCGTTTGCCCTCATCATGTACTACATAGTTGCAGGATTTGACCACGGGGGCTCTGGTGTGATGAGGCTTCAAGTGCTTGAGCCGCCTCACCTCAGCACTGGCTGCAGGAAAGATGCCTTTCTTTGATTTCTGTACCTTGGCCAGAGCGAATTCACATAAAGCTGGATTCCCAGCTCTCGGACTCCCGGACTGTCAGGTGGCGAGGATCCGGAGAAGGTGCTCCGTGCCGGGCCCCTGAGCCGCGGCTTGCAGCTTGCAGTTCCGACGTCCTTCGGTTGCATCCTCGAGGCCTACCTAAAGGGGCAGGAGCCCAGACCATCCTTGTCCTCGTCATATGGCACGCCAGAGCCGAACCCTCGAGTGCATTGCCTGTTACAGAAATCGCGAAGAGAACTGTTGTGGGCCTTAGGCTGCGCAGCCTCATGCAGGATGTGTCTCGGCTGACGGGTCATACTCTTTCGGGATCGCTAAGGGATCGTACATCTCTCGTAGCAGGAAGTGACAAAGGGACAGAGACGAAGCCACTGCCAGGAAGAAGCAACGAACATGAGCCAGGGACCACAAGGAGAGGCAAGGAAAGGATGGAATACTGTACCGTGGCTTTTCGCAATGCCCATGAAAGCAAATGAAAGACGAGAGGAGCGATACAAAACGGCAAAATCAACACTTTTCGAGTTGCGGCTTGGGTTGATGTTTGGTTGGACAACTGGGGCAACTTCGAGTCACACACAATCCAAATCGGGTATTGCAGAGGTGAGATGATGGATGAAACCCTCCGTGTTCTCTTCGCAGGGGTGGTTTCGGGGAGTCTCGGATGTTGCTGGCTCAGCATTCTAACATCAGTCTGGTCTAGGTGTCCTTTGGACGCCAGAGGTTCGATGTCGTGTTGCATAGACTCGAGACATCTGCAACGTTTCGGATGTGTGGTGCGAGATCTCGTCAGTCTCACTGTACCTTACCGGCTGTACCTGGAAGTTCAGGCCTGGGCCGTAAAAGCGGAAGACAGGCAAAGGGCAGCGGAGCGGCGCAGGCCTTCGTCCTTTCTCTTCTGACCAGTGCCAGGCCTTCGGCACAAGAGTGTGTTGACCGACTTCAACAGCTTCCGGCAGGGAAGCCATCACGCATGCTGGACTCCTACAGAGCTTGCGCAGTTTAGCTCTCGAATCCTCGGGGCCTAGGGGTGCAAGTGCAACGTGACGAGGTTTGGCCTCTTTTGATGCGCCTGCTCGCTCCTGCAACGACTCTTGAACTGTCCACGGTTCAGAGAACCGTGGACAAGGGTGTGGCCAGTGTATTGATCAAGCCAGGCACCACAACGATACTATACCGGACCCCGAACATCAGTGGGGGTCAGGACCCCATAAACCGCTCTACGCTCTAAGCTTTTGCCATCTCATGCTTCTTGGGAGTTTTGGGGCGATGGTTTGTGTGGAGGCCATGGAAAGCAGCCTTTCCATGGGTCACGGTCTGGTCGTGGACGTGTGACTTCATTGATGTTTTGACCCCTTCCCCAGCGAAGACACATTTTGTCTGCACCGCGACTTGTTTGCCTTCTGGTTTTAGGGATGCATTAAACCGTCTTTGAAAGTAAAAGAACCCTGTGCAATGCGGCATCATGCGGTTTCAAGGCCCGTAGATATAACTTGTACACGCTTCCGTGCCCTCAACCCGCAGCCTAGCCGAGCCTGTGTGGACCCACATATACCCACATGACGTCCCGTCTGGTGATCAATCACTGCATGAGTCTGAGCCTCTGTGAAGGCAGAGGCCAGCTCACCGACTTGTACCGATGCAAATTTTACATCGACATGCTATGCCAACCATCTCGGTGCTCATGGCGCCTTTTGCATAGCATGGCTTCCCTATACTGGTGGCGTCATGTGGCGTCCCAAGCGGCGACAACCCTTGGTGCCTACGGCGAGTTTCGTGGAATCTGTAAAGTAGATGCGGCAAAACCCATCCCGTGCGCTAGGAACAGCATATGGTTGCTGTTATTTTCCAGCCCATCCGTCGTTGGAGTTTGGGCAATGCGCAGTTTGAGTCAGCGCGCTGGTCGCGGAACTGTATGTTGCAAAAAGCCTTCCGTTGTTATCTGACTCACGCTCGCGAACTGCGCTGGAGGTGCAGTCCTATTGCGAGAGCTTTTTTGTCTCACCGGCAAGCCGCGACTTTCGAGGACGCGCAGGAAGGTATGCATGTTGTGGACAGCAAGGTCGTGTGCAGATCATGCATCGAGCCATTTGAAGGAGACTGTTGAAGGTTGGAAGGTGTGTGGGCGTCAAAGCTTCAGGTTGAAAGGCCAGTGACAGGTGTCTTCACAGTGTCCGCGATGTTTGGAGACAGGCTCGGTCACAGCATGGCATCAATGCCTGGAATCCTGTCAATGACTGTGTCTTGGGTGTGAAGATCCATGCAGGGATTCAGGCTAATTCGCGAGTGGTGATTTTCGCTGTGGACATCCCATGTACAGATTGACCGAGTGTCTCTTTCCATGGATCAGGTAGAGTTTGTGGAGCATGCTCCGGAACTAGTTCATGCTACTGCTGCAGGTGTGCGGCAAGATCCGTCCACGGAGCAATCATTGTTTCTATCTGTGTCTACCTGTCAGGATGCTTCTTGTGCATTCTATCCAACTTCCGGCACTCGCATTTGAAACTTTGCAACAGTCCAACCGCCAGTCTAAGCAGAAATAAGCGCAGTCTCGCTGTGCTCCAGTCAGCTCGTGGCAGGATTGTGATTCATGGAAGATGCCATTTCTCATTGTGAACGGCTTTTTGGACTTGGAGCTTAGATCCGTCTTCCAGTTGGAAGTACTGTAGCGCGTTCACCGATGGTTGCTTTTCGACAGGCCAGGGACTGGAAGGTGTCATCTCTTGCGAAGTGATGCAATCCCCCAAGATGTAAACCTGAATGTCTCTTCATCGAACAGCCTGTGCAGGTGCTTACGCTGTCCGCAGTTGGCGTCGCTGCTGGCCATGGCCTGGTGGCGGTTGTCTTACGTACGACTTGGCATGGCATGGCGTCTCTTTGCGACTCAGCGGGGCTCGGCCAGCGGTTTCCAAGGATGGCAGCGCCAGGCTCGGGGCGTCGGCCTGCGGCTTTGGGAAGTGGGGCAAATGCAAACTTGAGACATTGGCTTTCGTTCACGGAGTGTTACAAAGTTCCTGTCGCCATCTATGCCTTTGCCTGGAAGGCCAACTACGAAGGTCATCAACCTTCTGAAGGTGCATCTTTCCGGGCAGCCATTGTATCGTGTTGTGTCCTGGGCGGAAGCGCAGTGGCAAAGGACATGGAGAGCTCTCTGGAAGCAGAGGCGAAAGAAGATGAGGATCGAAAAGCCATTTTAGGGACATGGGACGGTGAGACATGGACTGCAGTGCCAGGATACCTATGAGAAGATGCAGTGCTGGTGCAAGAGCAACGGCGAGGACAAGGCAAAGAGCATCGAGTCGGCCGAGGCTCGCATCAAGGCAGGGGGTGGAAGCCACCAAGTGTGCAGCAACTGCTTAGTGTTGTCAGCGGCAACATGGCCGTTCCAGACCCGTTCCCTTCTTCGTGCGCATGTTTTACCGAAGAGTGCAGCTGTGCAGCTGTGCCAGGGTCTGGAGGCGCGCACCGAGGAGTTGGCTGCAACGAGCGCGCGCCTGGCCTCCGAAATTTCAACCTCCGAGGACCAACGCAGGAACACGTCGAGACCAGGTCGAGTTGACGTCGAGACCACCTGTCACGAAAGCTCGCATTTCAGAGCTTGAGTTTAGTCTTGCTTTTGGCAGGGGAGGCAGTCCAAGGCCAGAAACCAGGGTATTATTGATAGTATCCATTTAGGGATGGAGGGGGGGAGGTAAATTGAACCGTCCTGTGTTTTGAAGGGGGAGAGGGGGGGAAAGTAAATTGAACGGCTCATACGATTCTCCGCTTTGCGGGGGCGGGGGGGGCGGGGGGTAAATTGGCCGAGCAGCTATAGAACTCATCCGCGGCAGCCTCCTCCATAGCTGCTTACGCAATGTGCCCAATATTTTGAAGCGTTGACCGATTTGCGGCTGCGGCTGCTCTTACTACAACAACAGCAACAACAACAAGGTAGCACGTGCGTTTGCGGCCGCGCGGGGTGTGTCGTTTGTCTTGGGGACGTTTTTTTGTAAAAACGCAAATTCGTCGATGTTTGTGTGGTTTTCGTGAACAGGAGGT